CAACACGTAAAAGCCCATCACGGCTCTTCACCTCGGTTCACCTCGGACCGGGGCCACTGTTGATTTAATCGTACATGCTATACGTCCAAATCATTCAAAATTATCCACGTAATTACATGTTCTATCGTTGTTAACAATCACATAACAACAGAGAGGAATAAAGATAATTCTTTATTGCCAAATGAAAATTGTGACTTTATTAGATTTTTATCAATTGGGTTTATAATGTGGCTCAATATATACTATTGTCTTTTAAATTTTTAATGGGTTGACTTGACAAATATCAAATGAGCTAGATAATTAAGCTTGACATATACTTCAATTGGGTTTATAATGTGGCCCAACACACTCTTGCCTTTTAAATTTTTAATGGGTTGACTTGACAAATATCAAATGAGCTCAATAATTAAGTTTGACACAGACTTCTCCAACGGACTATTTAATTGGGTTTGTCTCATTCCGCAGTCCGTTATCCATTTTCATTTATTTATTTATTTCGCCTTTAAAAAAACTCGAACCATCACTTACACATCACATCTACTTTAATTCAGTATTCATCATTTACATAATTTTAAGGAGTTTTATCAATACAAGTCCCGAAAGATGGGTATACTATCAACGCGGGGCCTGAAAGATGTTTTTTCTCAATTCGAGACTTAAATGTTATACACCCGGAAGATAGGTAAACTATCAATGCGGGGCCTGAAAGATTTTTTTTCTCAATTCGGGACTTAAATGTTATGAAACTATCAAATTAAGTCTAGAATTAACAAAACTCATAACACCATTAAATTTAGAGTTTAAAAAAAAAAGATTGGTGTTTAAATTTAGAGTTTAAAAAAAAAATATATAATATTTAATTATTACATTTTATTTCATATTCATTCACATTTTTAAAAATTTTGCATTCTTCCATCAATTTTTTCTACTCTTTACTAACTTTTTCATTCAAACATTTTTACATAATTTATAACCAGTCGTACTTTTGAGTATTTGTCCTCATAAATAACTGTGTTTGTTGTTAAAAAGAATAATGCAGGTAATTATATTAAGTAAATAATTAATATGATTTTTATATTTAAATTGACTATTATGCTTATTGAAATTTTATTCATATGCATTGATGTTTAAAAATGTGAATGAATATGAAATAAAATGTAATAATTAAATATTATATATATATATATTAACTCTAAATTTAAACACCAATCTTTTCTTTTTAACTCTAATTTTAATGATGTTATGAGTTTTGTTAATTCTAGATTTAATTTGATAGTTTTATAATATTTAAGTCCCGAACTGAGGAAAAAAATATTTCAGGCCGCGCATTGATAGTTTCTCATCTTTCAGGTCTTTAATTTGATAATTTTATAACATTTAAGTCCCGAACTGAGGAAAAAAAATCTTTCAGGCCCACATTGATAGTTTACTCATCTTCCAGGTCTTTAATTTGATAGTTTTTTTATAACATTTAAGTCCCGAATTGAGAAAAAAATTTTTCAGGCCCCGCATTGATAGTTTACTCATCTTTCGGGCATTGTATTGATAAAACTCCTAATTTTAACTCAACATCACTTCATATCATTTATCTCTTACTTTTACACCAAATCAACTTTAATTGTTTT